GTCTTTGTTTCTCTGTCTGTTGTGTTAGAAGAATGGTAAGGAGGAAAAGGCCCAGTGCTGATCATATGAAGGTGCATAGGCCAATGTAAGGATTCTTGGATCAGCTAAAGAATGATGCGAGTTAACCTCCATTTTAATAAGATCACCCTGTTCTCTTGAGAATCCCCTGTAGAAACAAAGTTAAGGAGGTTATTACTGCAATCCAGGGCAAGATGATGGTTTGACACAGGTTGATATTGGTAGAAGTTGGAAAATTCAGATATCTTCTTCCAAGGAGAACTATTTTAATGCAAATGCTGTGTTTAACTTTGTAAATAAGATTTGCATTTGCAAATTCTCCTAAAGAGAATTGTGTCATCATGACATCTGTTGTGGGTTGTGTTAGGTCTTTAGTTGTATTGATCTTCAGGGTGAGTTTTTCATAGTATTTTAGCAGGAAATGCCAGTCCCAATTAATCTAGAAAGTTTGTATAGAGAATTTTTACAAAGCAGTATTTGAGCGTCTACCTTAACTTACAGTTTTACTGATTGCTACTACACAGTTTTCTTAAATTCAAGAGTTAACGAAGGATTGATCTTCATCAACCTGTCACACTGAAATATTGGTGAAAATGTGCGAGATACTTTACATGATTCAGTGAGAGAAATGTCCAGAGAAGACATGATGTTAACTCTTATGTTGAAGCAGTTGAATTCACAACTGTTAAATGTTTTCTCCTTCTTCTCATGTTAGTCTTCTTTTTGAATCATATTCTGGTTTTCACTATTCAAATGAATTCTTTCTTTATAATTTCTCAACTTGTTTTTACATTTCCTTTTTTTCTCCTTTTGACTTGAAAATGCAGTTGGTTATCAGAAGAGTTCAGGCACCCTGGTAGCTATCCCATGTATATTTAGAGTATAGTGGGAAACCATCTATTTATTCTTGTTTATTTATTTTGTCATATGATACTTGAAGTTTGGACATGGACTATCAGCATCCATATCACCTGTAAATTTGTTAAAATGCAAATTTCAAGCTCTGTCACAGATTCACTGCATCTGAAACTATGCAGAGCAGGTTTTGCTTTCTGCTTTGGCTAGTCTTCCAGGTGATTCTAATGTACACTAATGCTACAGAGCAATGAACAAGGTAATCTTTTTAGGCTTGTAGTATCTACCACTGTGGATGGGTTCACTGAAATGCTACCTTTCTTGTTTTCTCTCTGGCCTTTAGATCCTGGCCCCATTTTAGAGCACTCACTCTCTATAGCAGTTTCTACTCTCAGACCTCAGGATCTGTCTCGGTTTTGGTGGGCTGAACTGTAATTCTCCAGTGAAGAGCACCTATGTCTATCTTGCTAATATTGACCACTTCTGCTAGCAGTGATTCATTGCCTCCTGTGCAAATGGTTCACTTCCCACTTGTGATAATCTGCATCCTCCTACATGTGCTCCATGTGGGTTGGCCATATTGTGACAATTCTGGTTTAGACCTTCCACTCTGACATAATTAAAATCATTCCCTGTTACTCTTAAGTTCTCTAGTTGTGATCATAATGGTTCTACGATAAGCCTAAATCATCAGCAATTCTAACATTACTGGGAAATTGTCAAAGAAGGGTTCAATGAAAGTATCTTCAAGGCATAAAAATGTAAGAAATCTATTTGCAATAGGTAAGCAAGACGGAGCTGGAGATTGGGGTGAGATTGCCTTAGAGGCCAAGAAACCTTAGAGGCTGAATGTTCCACACAAATAAAGATGTGAAACAGTAGATTACACTGTGGGAAGCATAAGTAGTTGGACCAGGTTGGTTTATAATAGATAAAGCTGGGAGGAGAGGAATAATTTGAGGTAAAGATTCAAGAAGAGTTATGAGAAAATTTTATTATTCACCAACAGCATATCATATGAGCTTCTTTGGGTCATTATTTGAGAGAAACCTAGAATATATTTTCCCATCTGTGTTGATACTGTGTATTTAAAATGTTCACTACTCTGTTAATATTTCCATCAATTCTGTACTGTGTTTCAAAGCTGCAGCCTTTGTAGCACATAGCTTACTAATTATTTACTTTCTGTTTTGGTTCAGATATTCAAATTTAGTTTAAAAAACCCAAAGGTTTCACATTTCATATTATATCTTTTATCATAGCAGAACACTAATACTGGACTATTGAGATAATACAACCTATTGAGAAAAGAATTACACACATACTTACCCAGTGTGTTGTGATACTATTTTTTGAATATTAAGATGAAGGAATTTGGTACAAAATACTCTGATGATATTTTAACTTAACCATTTATACTACTAAAAATCAGGCATTGTAAGTAGTTTTTGGACTTTAGAAGCACTTGTAAATATAGCACTCAGGAGGTGGGTGCAGGGGAACGGAGAGTTCAAGTCCACCATGAGCTACAAAGCAAGACCTTGCCTCACAACACCATGGGCTAGTGTTACAGCTCAGTGGTAAAGCCTGAATAATGTGCACACAATGCCGGGTTCTATCCCTAGCACTGCAAGAAAAAAGAGAAAAAAATGTACATATTGCCTGGCAAAGCTCATTTGAAGCATAAAGAGTATTATTAAATTACAATAAAAATTGCACATTTGACTTTGCACGAGAATTAATGTTACTTCTTTTTGTGTTACTGAATATTAAGGATGTGTTTGCTGTTAGCTGACCTCAAAGGCTTTGCTCTGGACCTGGTTTATAAACTGGGTTCTTATGCTAATGAGCATCATCCTCATCATGAGCATGATCTGTCCGTTTGCTTCTGTTTCTGTGTGGACACTGTTTCATGTCGCTTATTATTTCTTTATTTTTTAATAGAGTTAGTATAGCTGCTTTTCTCTCTCCAGCCTGAAGTAATGAATTTTTTAAATGTAACCTTCATTATTCAATTAATTATTGCATTTTCCTAAATATTAATATGTGCCATATTTCAGAGTTAATAGCTGCCTGGAAAGAAAAAGAACAATTAATAATTTCCTACATTGTCCTTTGTTTAAATATCACCTAAATAATTCATATATTTATTAATTCACTCACTTAGTTAAGTATTATGTTTTGAAGACAGGTAGCAATTAATATTATGGTTTAATTTTAACAATAATGTCTAATAACCATGATTAAGTAAAGGATGAGTTTAGCCGGGTGGCCTTTATTAAGATACATATGAAGAGACATTAATTTTTTATTATGCCATAGATTATCTAATTCTTGGCTTAGGTTTTTTTTTTAATTACGCACTTTAAATTTGTCTCATCTATAATTTCTAGAGTTAGCATAAATAGAAATTTTTTAAGGAATATGTTTTCCTATTTATAAAAATTTGTAACTATTTCCTGAAGGATTTTCTGATCCAAGAATGACATTAGTTTGGAGAGATAAGTTAGACAGATGGTGAGAAAGTGATGAAAAACCTTTTGTGGATATAACTAAGGATTCTCCAAGTCTCAGTCTTTGTCACTTAGCTTTGAAAATAGACTCTTTATTTTTTTATCCATAGAATGTTTTTAATGTCTGCAAGTTCTTGTATACATAAATTGTAAAAATCTTCAGCTGTATATGCAAAAGTATATTCTCTTGCAGGTCAACAGCACCAGAAAACAAGCTAAGCTATGAAAAAGGTTTTCGTTAAACTTGATTTGTCCCATATGTGGAAGACAAGATGGATTTAATAACTCCAAAGTAATCTATATTCCACTCTTAATCATACACGAAACACCTGATTCCTTCATTACATCCACTCACGAAATAATGAAAATAGGCTCTTTATTCCTAGGTTTTTGTTTTTTAAGACAGGGTTTCATTATGTAGCCCAGGCTATCCTAAAATTTGTGATTCTTCTGTGTCAGCTTCCAGGATGCTGGGATTATAGGCATGACCACAATACCCAGCAGTTAGGTTTATGTTTACTCACCATTTTTTAAATAATCTACTTCAGTCACCCAGCAACCATCACTTATTACAAATCTGTAATACACATCCCCTTTTATTTTAAAACCAGGTATTTTAGGATAAAAGACAGTTTGTAATAGTTATTAAGCAGTAAATAATGGGCTCTTCTAACAGCCACTTCAGAGCATTTACCATTATTAGTTTCTATGTGCAGCTCACAACTTGCACATCATTTTTATAACTATTTTTTAGTGTTAAACCCTGGAAGTTTAAGCAAACTGGAAACCCTAGACACGCAAAGATGTAAAATACACCACAATTCCAAAAGCCTGTTTGGTGCCTGGATGGCTTCAGCATAGCTCTGTCTTCCTTTGATTTGGTTTTGATTTGAATATTCCAATCAAATAAAGCTTAACATCATTACTTTTGCTGTTAATAAATCCCTAGCTATTACAAAAGTAACCTGTTGCTGCTGCTTACATATTCGTAGCCTTAAAATTTGACCTAGGGTCTATCTTATTTGTATCTTACATTGTTTTTCTTGGCTTGCATTGCATAAGAATTCTTGATCTACAATTGAAAAGTCATGTGACTCTGCCTGCAGTAATAATAACCTTGCAATTCTGACCTGAAAGTATTATCAAAAATCTGAATCTGTTAATATTTATTCCACTTTTTAATAAATCTAATTGAAAGTGAGTTATTGATAAGTCTACCTTTATATGCTCTTTCACTAATTTCCACATTACTTAAGTGTAAAAAATTAATATATTTCTATAGGTATACTGTTTGTTTCAGAGACAGATACTATTTTAAAGTACTAACATACTCAATCCATATTTATAATATATCTTTAATGTGCTCATATTTTTTGCCCAAATATCTATAAAACATTCCATTTTAAGAAAAAAAAATGCACATGTGCCAAATAGAGTCCTTGTAATGTCCTGCAATTAAGGGAAAAATGCACAAAATATTACTAAATAATGAGCACATTATCAGATCTTGCCTTCAAGTCATCTTTACCACTGTACCTTTTTTTTTAAATGTAGCTCCATAGGTATGCACACTTATTTTCTGAGTTGAAGCTCTCTTGCTTTCATGCTTTGCAGGTCAGTTTCTTCTGGAAGAAGCTCGCCTCGTAGAAGCAGCTGAGATGGCAAAAAAGGCAGCTGAGCTAGACAACAAAGAGTTCGATGTTGTCTTCAATGCAGCACACATGCTCAGGTTAGTGTTTGCTACTGTGCCTTAGACCACCATTGTGACTTGGAGAAAGCAGTTAATTATACTATATAGTTTTCCTATCATACCTCCTTATCCCACATTCTTTTGGGGGTTCAAACTCAGCGCCTCACACTTGCCAGGTAGGTGCTTTACCACGTTAGCCACACCTCCAGCCTGTTTTTGCTTTAGTGATTTTTCAGATAGGGTATTGTATTTTTGCCCCAACCAGCAAAAAAAAAAAAAGATTCTCCATCTATGCTAACCACAGCTAGAAACCTAGAAACACAGGTGCATGCTTATTGATTGAGATGGGCCCTCTGTAACTGTTTGCCCAGGCTCGTCTCTTACCGTGATCCTCCCAATCTCCGCTTCACAAGCTGGGATTAAATGTGTGAAGTACCATACCCAGCCCACATTCTTAGTATGAATCATGCTGCATAACCATGTAAACATTAGTCATAACTATTTTTATTGATTATAGTCTATGTACCCAATTTACAGAGCAGATGAGCTCTCAGGACTCTGACCATTACTGAGATACCAGTGGTGCCCTTTCCCTTCCCTCCAAAAACTGGATTTAATAATTGTCTAATTAAATGTTTCCAAAACAAAACATTGCTTCAATTAGTCAACTGTGTCTCCATATTCATTATTATTGAGTGTGACATGTGGATAAATCTTAATATGTTTGATATTAGGGGAAATTATCAAATACAAATATATTTAAGACCTATAAAATACTCAAAATGGCCCTTTAGTCAGCACTAGTGATGTTTCTTGAACAATATACTTTTTAGACCCTTAATGCTTCTATTTTCAGAAGGGTTATTACAAAAGCTACCTGCAACAGTAACATAAGATAAATGAATAAAAATGTTTATTTGTGCTGTGGATATAAAAAACAAAAGCCAGTGTACCCATGAGTGGTGATTTAGGATAAAGAAATATATTTTACAGAAACAAAAGAAAATCATGAAAGAAAGAGTACAAGGAACTCTCCTACATCAGTTATCCATTTTCCCCAATTGTAATATCTCCCAAAACAACAGCACTTTGTCATTCTCAGTATATTGTCATTGATCCAGTTCATGGCCATATTGGGTTTCCCCCATTTCACTTCTGTCCCTCTGCATGTCTGTGTGTTTAGTTCTCTGTAATTTTACTGCATACGTGGGTTTGTGTGTTCATCATGAGAGTGAGAGTACTGTAGAGTCCCATCATCACAAGTATCTTTCATGTTGTCCTTTTTTAACCCACATGTGCCTGCCCAGGAACCAATATTTAAAGCAAATTTGGTAGATTAATTTTGGTTTATCGTTTGGGATTTTTTTTGTAACTGTATCTTAGTGGCCTTCTATCTGGATTTTTGTTAGTTTTAACTAAGAAATCCAAAGCCTGAATCTGAGGGCAAGCATACCAAGAGGTTTCAGCTAACTGCCCTCACTCTGCAGTAATGTTCATCAGTCCTAAACTACTTGTTTTATAAAGCTGACATCTACAAGTAGAAATCAGGAGACAATTGGTGTATTTATATAAATAAACTATAGCAATTTATAGGAACCTTCAATACAAGGATAATTTTTAAAAGACACCTTAATTTTCATGACAAGGTTATGTGCTGCTGTGAAGAGGATTTTTTGTTCTTCATGAATAAAACACTGCTTTTCGACACAATAAGCCATTTGTAAGGATAGGAAAGCACATTTCCATAGGCTAATTCATCTTACTCATAATAAATAGTTTCATCAACACATCCTTTTGCTGCATATTAAATCAATATCTGGAATTCAAGGTCTATCAGCAGAAACCCATTATAAGCACATTACAAAAAAGGTGTCCTTGTTAAATATATCACCTGTAAGAATTTTTCTTAGTTACCATAGTGTTAGAAATCACTGGAAAGTTTTTGTTACAGATTGCAATGTGGAAATCTTTATGATTCATTTTTCAGAACCTTCTCTTTAGCTTTCTATAGTCTGCTTTCCTCATTAAGTTGCAGTCACTCAGCACCCTCTTGCATTGGCGACAAATGTGACCATAGCAGCCTGACCATATCCTATTCAACTTGGTGGAAGTCTCCATGAATGATTTTGTGTAGCTTTTCTGTTTTTCAGTTCCATCAAGTTCAAGTATTTCTTGAGGGCTTACTGTGACCTTACTAGTCAATAGTATTCAGCGCTCTCTTTGCTGAAAGGAATAAGAAAGGTTTTCCAGTCTTCCCTTGAATGCACCTTTAAAAAATGGTTAGCTGTCAAGATTTTGTTTATATAATGTTGCACATAAAGTTTTTCCTGGGAATGACAGAGTCCTAAACTGATTTTGATATTAATTCAAAGTGCTTTGTTATTTTGAGAGATTTTTTAGTAGAAAAAATTGGCAAAGTTTGGTGACCAGTTAGGTGTGAAGAAAAGAGTAAATATCTCCGTGTTTGTGACTTTGTTAGCTGGATGAATTATTTATGTAATATTCCAAATCACCAATGGAGCAAAATATTACACTTTAAGATATAGTTCCTTCCTACTGATTTAATTTCCCTTTCCTTGGTTAATGAAATGGTCAAAGGAATATATTAATTTGGAAAGAATTACTTAGTCATTCTATCTGAATAAAGACTAGAAGATACCTACGTGTTTGTGTAATTTTAGCATGTATATATGGTTTTATATCCTGACTATATTATGTGATATATGTAGTTGTATTTGTACATGTATAAATGTGTATATGCAATGAGATGCATACTTAGCATACATGTAATTGTAATTATGGTATACAGAGATTCAAAAATAAATTTCTTTCTTTTTTGGGGGGAGCAAATTTTGAACTCAGGCATGCTGCCACTGGCCTTAAAAGAAATTTCTGAAACAGAGCATGAAATAGATGAGCAGTTATCATTAAGTAAGAAAAAATTCTAAAATATGGTGACAGTCTTCAAGTATCATTTAAAAAGCAAAATTGATGAAAATAGATCCACTCCTAAATTGTCTTCACGTCTTCTTTCTTCAAACTAACAAATTCACTTTAAACAGAGACAGGATTTCTTAAAGAGTAATCTGCAGGGGCTTGAGAGCTTCCCCAGAGCTCAATAGTGTTTACAGTGCAGGAGCTGTGCCATCCCTGCAAGGAGCCAAGCAGTCCCACCTCCATTAGAGAATGATTCCTCTGGGTGCAGCTGCCTCCAGTATGCTACTTCTTTATTCCATTTCCTTGAGATAGCATCTGACTGGTGGAACCTGAGTCATGTGCTGGAAGATAAAAGATGAAAGGATTTTTGGCTTCTGCTTTCCTTGGAAAAATAGAGTCCACTTTGTGGCTAAATTACCAACTGAATTTTCAGGAAGAGTGATCACAGATGTGTGAGAACATAGACAGTACATGGTGGCACTTTGAGTGCTTCAAATAAAACTTAAAACGTATTAGGTACTTCCTGATGAGGCCATTTTTTAAAAAGCAGATTGGTTATCATCAAAGGGTACTAGCAATGAAGTTTAAAATGCTACAACTCAGTGGAGTTATGTCTACACAGTTGTGAAGGAAACAATTGAATCAACTATTCTGTTAGAAGTATTTCATGGGAATGGATTTATTCAGTTTTTCTCTCCCCAAAACTGGATATTGGAGAGATAGAGCACAAATATATGTGATACCTGAGAGGAAGTCAAAAGTCATAAAAAATTTTTTTTACCTGATTCGTAGGCTCTGGGCGAAGAATTTCTGTTGTTGCTGTTTTTAATCCATATACTGAGTAAGAGATAAAAGTAGCATTTATTCAGGTATCTTCTGTCTATCCAGCACTATATTTTGCACTTATGTATTACGTTATTTTCTTCACTCTAATTGCACATCTGTGAAGTAGACTTAATATTTCTATTTTATAGGTAAGGATACTGAGGCTCAGAGACAATACTTGTCAGCCTTGGTAAAGCTGGGATCTAAATGTAGTGTGTTCTGGCCAAGGATGATATTTGTTGTCTCTGTGTTACATAGGCTCCCTCTGTCTTGATAATAGAGTGACTACCCAAAAGCTATGATTCTTGAGTTCATACAAGGAGAAAGGATTTATAAAGAGTGACAGGCTATTAAATGTGCAAATCATAAATAGTAAGACCTCTGTAGTATCATTAAATTAATTCTTTTGTGATAAATTTTAGAAAGTAGATTCCTAGATTTATAGTCATTAGAGAGACAACTCCAAGTTTGTATTCTCTACAGAATATTTAATTTTTAATGGTACAATATTTAACATGGGTCACACAGCTGAGAGAAGTATGTATTTTTTTTTCTTTTCCAGGCATAAGGGTAGACGCTATCACTGACTCCAAGATAGTGAGAAAAGCAAAACTGCACCACATGGATTGGTTCTGGTTGCTTCCCTAATTTCTAGAGGGCAGAGTAAATAAATGAGAAAGAAACATTGTCTTTTAATTTCCCTACTCAAGTAATACAATGTTACACAGTTTTATATTGAATTTAGAAATCCTTCTTTGTAAATTCTATAAGAAGTAACATAAATTTTAAATTCTTAACTGAGAAAGAAACAGAATCAAATTCTTTTCTCAAAGCACATTTGTGTGTTTCGGTGTGTGTGAGTGTATGTGTGTATCATGGAGATATATTCACAGTAGGCCCTAAACATCCCTAGGTTCTACATCCATATGTACAAGAAGACCACAAATTGAAAATACTTGAGAAAAATTTGTCTGTGCTGAATGTGTACAGACTTTTTGGTCATTATTCCCTACACAATATAGCGTAACACCTATGGGTAGCATTTGTGATGAATTAGGTATTGTAAGTAATCTAGGGATGATTTAACCTATAGGGAGGATGTGTGTTGATATTATGCATATAACGAAGTTGAGTATCTACAGATTTAGGTATCTGCAGAGGGAAGGGTCTTGTAACCCATTCCCCCAGGATAAAAAGGAGCTACTGAGTCTCCAAGGATAGGTCATATACTTTCTGTTTGACATTTTGAATTATCCAGAAACCACTGGAAATTCACTGGATTTTTCCAATTATAAATTATATTTTATTGCCAACTTTTGTTCAGGAGACTCTTATTTTAACCACATTGTACTGTATTGTAAGGTCTTTTAAGCAAAGTAAGTGACGAATGAGGTTGAAAGTGGATGTCTTCCAACCCAGTGCCTCTTCAGTGTTACTGAGGAAGCAAATCACCTCTGTGATCTTGGTTAAATTCCACATTTTGATTCAGTAGGTGTGGGTAGTACCTGAGGTTTTATACTTCTAACAAGTCCCAGGTGATGCTTATGATGCTTCCACTATGAGGAAGTTTTTATACTGCCTCTTCTCTTTTCATTCTTCAACTCCTCTTCCCTCTCTAAAATGACACTTTGAACCTCAGTGATAGTTTACTATATATGAAGGTAAACGTTAACATTGCCAACACATTTCCTCCCTTTAATTTTTTTCAGTACACGTTATATGACCTTCCTAGATAAGGGCTGAACTCTGACAGATTTAAGGATCTAACTCTCCTGGGGCACAAGGAAACTTTTGATTCTGAGGAACCTTTTCCAAAATCACATCAGCATAGTCTTTTCTTTCATCTTTTACTGCAGCATTTCCTCTTCTCCCCTCTATCCTTTACCTTCACAGTTGCGACAGATAACTATAGATCTTCAAGTCATTTTTGATATTTTGACAGCAATTTCCATCTAAGAAGTCTTTAGTGTTGTAAACAATTTATTGCAGGAGTATCATTGTACGGAACCTTTCTGTTCCATTGATTTTACATAAATGTGATTCTGATTTTAGTATTTTAAGATTTTCCCATACATTTTTTATGATTATTCAGCTCTCTTTCTATTTCTACTATACAACTTATCAACTAGTATTAAATTTTAGTGCTGCTTTGGGCAACTTAAAGGTAAGTATCAGTTTATTGATTGGCAAGAATCCAGGAAAACCTAGTCACTGTCTCTGTATTTTTGTTACATGAATAAACAACTACTTAAAAAAAAAACTCATAACTTACCCTTAAAAATATATCTTTTATGGATCAATTTTAATTCAAAATAAATAATTCATGACTATTAATGATAGTGAAAGGGAGCCAATTCTTTATGCTACTAGAGGTTTTAAAAAATATTTTCAAGGAAGTAATTTTAAATTTAGCAATCTTTAATTTTACAGTTTTCTAAGAATACATAAAAATATAGGTAACTGTGAATGATCCTTTTAATCACTTTCTTTTCAAACATTCCCTAGGTTATATTAACTTGTTTCATTACAATTTATTCCCAAATTTCTTTTACACATCTGTTTTATAGAACTAATGAGTTGTTTAAACATGTGTTCCACAATATATTTTTCTATTACAAAGTAACAACACAAAGAGAAATTATAGATATTGTATATATATATATATATATATATATATGATATCAGATATAAGTTTTATAGTGCAAAATAGAATTCATTATGCAGGTGAGGAAGTTTGTGACTTTTGTTGTTGCATTTTTGTTTTTGATTTGCAAAACTAAATTTTCAGGGATGGCAAATAAACAAACAAACAAACAAAACAACAAAAAAGACTTAAACATGATCAGTCCAGTCCAGTTATTTATAGGGATTCAAGATTTACTTCATAGTACATTTCACAAATACTTTCTTGGCTTCCTTCTACTCTCTTGCCATTTTGGGCACAGAGAAGCAAAGATAGCATGAAGACGGGGAGGGGGTAGCATATATGATGAGTAGGAGTTGATCATGAGAATGGAGCTTCTGTTGGAATCTCCTATTCTGTTGTTGACACAGTGATAAATCTTTATTCTCTAGACATGTGGCATAATTTATGTTAACTTGTAGGATGGGGAAGTTGCCAGTTTGGTCCCAGTGTAGCTTCCTGATATGAATGATTTTTCTTTCTCCATATGTCATTCATTATTTTGTACTGTGTACTATGGCCAAAACACAAGATTATCTACATCTGGCCTGAGCAATCACCTGACAGAGTCAACCATTTCCCCATTACCCAACTTTCTGAGTCTTCCACTGGGCATGTGGGAGATTTACATGTCCTCCAAATCTAATTTTGATGATCTGAAAATGAGAGACTACAAGAAGTAAGAAAGTATCGGGCACTGTTTTTGCTTTTTCATTTTAAAAATGTGGTTAATAGCAATTGATTCATAGTATTGTTCTAAATAATAGATGAGATAATAAGTTACAAGGTAGATGGTTTATTAAAAAATTTTGTACCAGAAAGGAAGTAGTAAAGAATGAAAGAGTGAATATGCAGGAAAAGTCTGTATTATCAGCTGGTTTTACATAAGCATACCTAGTAGTCTGGAAACCTGAGTCATACAGTGAGTCCTGATCTCATGTTGGATGTATTTCACAATATTTAATAAAATCCTCCAAGCAACTGGGAGAGTATTACTAATTTCCACACTGTTCAAATATTGATTAATGATTCAGTCATCTATGCAATTAAGATTTGTTAAGCACTCCCAGGATTTTTCTTACAGAGTATAAAATATACCATGAACCACAAAATGGACATTGGACAGTTCCTTACGCATTTTCTTTCCTGTCTAGAGAATAAAATATTATGAACATTCTGTGCAGAACTGTCATATTCTTTTCCCTACGGTTTTCCATGTGCTATCATAAAAGTTTAGTGAATAAAGACTATTTAATTATGGACGTAGAGCCCTACAGTGAAAATTAATTTTCATAGTTATATGACATATAATAAATCCTGCTGGGTTTTTCTCATTTCCTTAGAATATCATCAGTTCTGCTTTTAACTTTAGAAATTAAACTAAGTATTTCCTTTGGGCATTAAACTGTGAAAGAATATGATGACTTCAAAACCAATAATCATTTTGGGGAGAGAAACCTTTTAAGAGAGTTGAGTTGATTGTTATTTTTAAGGTATTTCATCTAATGGATTTCCCAGTTTCTCTTTAGATCCTTATCTACCTTATGAATTGAATGGCCACAAAGATGAATATTAATAATAGCTATGCTTTCCATGCTGAATATCTATTGGTTGATCTTGCTTCAAAGTAACTTACTTCTTTGTAATATTAAGTTACTCTAATTTCCTACCTCCATGACTTTCATTTTCCTCTGGAGAAAACCCTTCCAGGGCATGACCTAATGAATTCTGATTCAAATTTCCAAATGAATCTGAACCAAAGCAATTCTATAATTTGGTGGAGGGAACCTTCATTAAGTACCCTAGTGAGGGAATTTTTACTGTTTCATACCAGACTAAAGTACTTTTCTTGACATATTGAAATTGAACTTTAAAATTTATGAGAATATAAATTGCAACCAACACATTGTAACATGTCATGCGTCCAGTAGAGTCTTTTTACTCTCTTTATAACCTTCATTAAAAATAGCAGTGTTCCTATTTTCCTTTAAAAAATTTTTAAAAAGTCCTATTCTCCAGAGAGATCTTATCTTTAGTTATTCCTATAATTTATATGGTTGCATAGGTTATTTCTTTATGGTTTTTATTTCGCTTGACCAATATGCAAGTTCAATTTTTTAAGTATGACTAGTTGGTCTTCTCCATTAAACGTAAATGTGGTTTTCTCATTGAGAAAGATAATTTTTGTGTTCTCTTTATTCCTGACCTGTCTGTCATTTTCTTGTCCAAAAGCTTGTTAACATCACAGCTTTAAGAGAACACCACTCCATTTTAAAGGCAGGCCTGTAGCCATTTGCCACTGTTACCACACCATATTTATGCTCTAGATATTATCTGAAATTGAATTTGGCATTTTTCTATAGCATTTCTTCTGTACCCCTCAAATATAGTTACTAGACTCCAGCTTAACTTGTAACAGCTTCTTATATCTTATTATCTGCCATCTGTGAATGTCTTCTGAAGTAGAATGATCAAAAAAACATGGTATTTTGACAGGCAGCTGGCTGAGTTTCCTCAGTGCTCTGATATTTTGTTTCTTCTGCTAACAAGTTGGCTGAACCTCTGGTAAATTGCTATAATGGGCAGCAAACAAATTTATCTGCAAAATTTAGTCTGCATCTTATTTGTATAAGTCAACTCTGCCGCTCATGGGGTTTGGCTCTAAGCAAGAAAACTAGCGGTTGCTGTTTAAAAACTGTAGGAACTAAAGAATTTGCTTTCAACTGGAGAGCTTGAACAAGGTAGCCCAGGGGTCAAAAAGCAGCATAAACTATAGCAGTTATTCATAGAAAGAGTCAGCCTGCACATAGCCCCATTGCTGCTGCCTTTGTTAGTGAATTCTTTGTATCCTTTTATCTTTCTGTCACTCAGAAATTAAAATTCCAAGTGAGAATATCCAGTTATCTGAGATTAGGTCATGTTCCCACCCTGATGGCCACAGAGCATAGAGAGGGATAATCTGTCCTTTTTTTTATTGTTGACTACAGACGATGGAACGTTCCCCTGAATCGTCAGAAAGAGAGTGGGTGACTTTCTAGATGACAAAGAATTTTAAATCCTGCAATGTTCACTGTTTTAAGAGAAAACACCACTAGATACTAGTTTTGGCAAATAATTTTTAAAAATAATGTTGAAAGTAGAAAATCGAGATTACCTAGGTTAGCTTGGAAAAAGAGAATGACTTTTCTAATTGTTAGTATGTAAATTTAAAATACTAATACCTATTGAAAAAGGTTATGCTGGGATGCTTTTGTGATGTGTTATACATAGTAACAAATTCATTGCAAGCACTCAGTTTTCTGTATGAGCAACGTATTGCTTAATTGGTGTGGTTATAATTGTGTTAAAGCTAATACTGTTTTGCTGTACACTGATTCTGTTCGCCTACCTGCAAATTTTAAATAAGTGATACAGTTTGTTTGTTTGTTCTTTGACAGGCAAGCTAGCCTCAATGAAGCAGCTGAGAAGTACTATGATCTGGCAGCCAGGCTGAGGCCTACTGTAAGTACTTTCTGAACAAGAAGTGTTATTCAGAGGATACAGGGAAGAGTTTAAGACACAGTTGAGTCATGACACTGTGTTTGGTTTGTTTTTCTCCTTGATCTGATTTTGAATACAGCTAATTGAACCATATAATCAACCAATCTCGAGGTTCTTTTTTCCCCAGACTTTCTGGCCTGTGTATACAACATAAATTTTTACTGTCTGAATACAAGTTTTAGCGTTACTAAATACTTTGCATTTGGATGTACTTTAAAACTCATTCCTTGAAGCTTTTTTGGAGGTCAGAGCTTGGTATTGAACACCTTTTATTGTTTGATGTTCACCTACAATTAAGCCTTGATCTGTATATTTCTTTTCTACTCTTCAACCCCCATTTCTAGTAACTGAGCTTTTCAACTTTGCCAGTAATGTTTTCATTAGAAGTTCCCTGGGTGCTCACACTTCTGTAAAGTAAGATGGGTATAAATTAGATCATTTCTATTGAAATAGAATAACTATTTGTGAGAAAATAAGAATTGGTTTCATAGCAGTCTTATATGCATTTTATTCACAGTACATCACTGTGTTATTTTTATTCTCGTATTTTATTTATCCATATTTTGTTCTCATACACAATCAGCATCACTCTCGGACACTAAAGCCTCCTACCTTGCTCTCCAGATTTAGACCACATATTGAGAAAGGTAATTTTGAAACAGTAGTGGAAGTGCACACGTAAGGAGATTTCAAAAAAACAGATCAGTCTCATTTCTTTACCATGAAGATACAGCTTTCTAAGCGGCCATGTCGGGCGCCTTTGTGCAGTAGTTCTAAGAGAAATGTTAAACTTGAATTCTTAAACTTGTCATAATTTCACTGAAAGCAGTTATCAAGGATTTTTGTTTTTCTTTCTTTTGTTTCAATCCCTCTACTTTGATTAATACAATGTTCTAAACATACTTAAGTTCAACTTTTGTTCAGTGAGCATCAGTTACTTTAACATCACTTTAGTTTCTGGTGAGTGGTGAACTGGTGATCTTCATATAATAAAATGGCATTGTGTGAAAGAGCTACCTGAGCTGTGTGTCCTACACTAAACATGAAAAGGACACTCAACCATCACAGGATTCCACCTGAATTATGAGGTCTATTTCAAATGACTAACCAAATCATAAAATTAATGTTTAATCTCCAACCCAAAGCCATTTTTTTTACTGGAACCCAAAAATGTCTCTTCTTAAATATAACAAACACTGCTTTTGAAAATGTATTATTCAAGTTGTACTTTCCTTATCTGGCAACAATAAGCATCTTATGAACTTGGCTAGAATATAAAGCCCATTTTTACCAATAAGTATAATTTTGTAATTGATGGATCAACAAGATGTGAGGTTTTGTGCAAATGTTTCATTAATTATGTTTGATTTTCAGTTCATAGTCCAGATAAGTAAGGTGTCACTAAGACAAGAGTGATCAATTTATAAACCATGCCTATAATATAAATTTTTATCCTGAATCAAAGAGATGTACTTAAGCCATAACCCTATGATTTATTAAGAATTATGCATATTATCTAAATTAAAGCATCCACCTAACATTTCTCTTGCTGCTTTTTCCCTTTGCTCACAAAAACATTTTTTTGTTATCTCTATGCTTCAACTGAACACATTTGAGTTACCTGCTTATCTGAGAGCATAGCAAATAGACCTCAATTCCCACTTCCTATAGAAATAGTTCCATTGTCTTTTTTACTTTGCTCATCTACATGATAATCCAATCTTTTATTTTTCATAAAATATTTTGTTCTGTCTACTTGAATGCTCTTGCAACTGCAATGATCAGTAGCTATACATGGAGGGCTCTAAGAATCTTAGTAGTACTTTTCTCGGATCATGACCATTACAAAGTAAAATATGTGACTGCAACCTTTGGGTACTCATTACCATCCATAGCGAAAAGATTGCTGATCATCTTTGGAATATAGTCCTTTCTTAATAAAATACTGATTCCGTTTCTTCAGAATGTTCCCTAATGAATTTATTTGTTCTTTTCTACAAAAGCCTGTTATGCTACTTTGAAATTAATTTAATTATTTGGAAATTAATTGACTTCTTAAATTATTTTATTTGATTCCAGTGATCAAATGCTAAAATAATGAAAGAAGTCTAAATTATTAGGCACAGTGTTAAGTTTTAGATTCTTGTATTGCTTCTTCCTCGGTGATGTTTAATTTGTTTTCATTTACTGAAGTACATAGAGAATTGTGTTTTGATTTTCAGTACATAGTCTAAGTATATTCATAAAACCAGCATGCTCTAATTTTTAAATCTTATTTAGTTGACTTTAGAAAGTAGTTCCTTTAAAATTGGACCCAATAGCTTAAAACATATTTCTGTAATGGGAAAACACTTTACCAAAATTGTGTCTTAAGATTGCTAGTTTTACTTTTGATTTTTATAAATAAATTGATATTTCTGTAGAAGTTGCTTCATAAAGACAACAGTTCTTCTCCATCTTCTCCTCACACTTATGCACATCAAAAACTGCTGACTCTTGAGGACTGAAAGGAACACTTAAATGAAACTGCTTTGTTCTTCCTGTGGGAATTAAGCCAAATTATTTATGGATTTTTAATTTTTTTTAATGTGTGGAGAATGGAAAATTTGCATCTTACAAAGTCACCTGCTTTTACTTGACTTTTTATCAGCTTTGGCGTCTGAAGCACTTAATAACCAATAATCAAATTTTATATTCTTCTGAATATCATTGTTTTTAGTTTGAACTCATTAAACTTATTTTTAATCAAGTTCCAACCTTATATAAGCATCAATTCTAAGTGCAGTAAATTTTCAAAGTCATGAAAAACTAACTCTGACCTTGAAAAATGTGTAATTTAATGTTGAGAAGGAGGAGGGAGAGAACATGTAAATCCAAATCCTCACCCATCAGGGCAGTAAACAACACTACCTAATAAGTGCTTTGTGAGAGACATAGCTGGGTGCTAGCAAAGTGTACAGGAGAAATTACTTTCAGCTGGATTGATTTGAAAAGGCATTGAGTCAGAGTTGGCAAGCTTAGAGAAGCTTGAAATGATAGAATATTTATAGGTGAAGATTGTAGCAAGAGGAGGAGAAGGGAGAGTTTGGCAGGTGGAGGTATAGGTATAAATAAGGGTGGGAAACAGTAGGGGAGGCTAGGACTGGGAAGTAACATAAAAATAGAAGACACTGAATACCATACTGCAGATCAGGAGTTTCTAGTCCAGAATTTTTTAGTAGCACAGAATAATGAAAGTAGTAATTTAGGATGTCCATTTATGTGATGCAGTGAAAAATGTGTGTTGTGTTCAGGGAAGTAGAGTAGTTGGGAGACACAGCCTTTGGAGAACCACATCTGCTAAGTCTTTTTATGTCTCAGTGAATTTCTGAAACCACTGGTAGATTAATTCTCATTTTAACTAACCTTTCTGATTTATATGCTGTATGTTTTATTCATACTTTGTGTCTCTAATTTGTATAATATTTTATAAATGTTCTGCCAGTACATTGATTATATGTGAATTAAAGATGAAATGCATCTCTAGGATTATTTAATAGAAAACTGCATCTGTGAGTTTTACCTTTCCCAGGCACTTAAAATATAAGTTATTTTAAAGGCAATGCTATAGATTTAAAATATAAATTATTTTACAGCATTTTTTTATTATTCATATGTGCATACAAGGCTTGGGTCATTTTTCCCCCTGCCCCCACCCCCTCCCTCTCCCCCCTACCCCCTCAATACCCACCAGAAACTATTTTGCCCTTATTTGTAATTTTGTTGTAGAGAGAGTATAAGCCATAATAGGAAGGAACAAGGGTTTTTGCTGGTTGAGATAAGGATGGCTATACAGGGAGTTGACTCATATTAATTTCCTTACAGCATTTTTTATAAAAGCAAAGGCCATGCTATATATTTGATCTCTTTAGCAGTGATTATATGTCAAAAATCAAAATAAGAAAAATGGGAAGAAAACCCAAGAAATGAACTTACTGTGACAAGGTGCAGCTATGTATGATAATTCACACCTTCTCCAAGACATTACTTTCAATTCAGACTATCCTTTGGCAAATACGGTTGCTGGAGGATGATTGTGGAGAGAAATAACTTCCAAGACTAGAATCTTTTTTTTTTATCTTTTTGTTTTGTTTTTTATTCATATGTGCATACAATGTTTGGGTCATTTCTCCCCCCTCCCCCCACCCCCTCCCTTACCACCCACTCCACGCCCTCCCTCTCCCTCCCACCCCCTCAATACCCAGCAGAAACTATTTTGCCCTTATCTCTAATTTTGTTGTAGAGAGCGTATAAGCAATAATAGGAAGGAACAAGGGTTTTTGCCTGTTGAGATAAGGATAGCTATACAGGGAGTTGACTCACATTGATTTCCTGTGCATGTCTGTTACCTTCTAGGTTAATTCTTCTTGATCTAACCTTTTCTCTAGTTCCTGTTCCCCTTCTTCTGTTGGCCTCAGTTGCTTTTAAGATATCTGCTTTAGTTTCTCTGCATTGAGGGCAACAAATGCTAGCTAGTTTTTTAGGTGTTTTACCTATCCTCATACCTCCCTTGTGTGCTCTTGTTTTTAACTGGTGATCAGAGTCCAATCCCCTTGTTGTGTTTGCCCTTGATCTAATGTCCACATATGAGGGAGAACATATGATTTTTGGTCTTTTGGGCTGGGCTAACCTCACTCAGAATGGTGTTATCCAATTCCATCCATTTACCTGTGAATGATAACATTTCATTCTTCTTCATGGCTGCATAAAATTCCATTGTGTGTAGATACCACATTTTCTTGACCAATTCATCAGTAGTGGGGCATCTTGGCTGTTCCCATAACTTGGCTATTGTGAATAGTGCTGCAATAAACATGGGTGTGAAGGTGCCTCTGTAGTAACCTGTGTCACATTCTTTGGGTATATCCCTAGGAGTGGTATTGCTGGATCAAATGGTAGATCAATGTTTAGCTTTTTAAGTA